TGTTTATCTCCAGTCCACTTATGTATTGGAACTATTTCCTTCAACTTCTTCGTAGGACATCTGTTGAGTACATACGTTGCAGTGGCAACAACTTCTCCCCAGAGCTTCTGAGGAAGCTTCTTCTCCTTTAGCATGCTTCTCACCATATCAAGCAGAGTGCGGTTTCTTCTTTCAGCAAGACCATTGTGTTGAGGGATATAGGGAGCAGTAACCTCATGCTCAATTCCATTCTCCTCACAGAACTTCTGGAACTCTTTGGAGTTATACTCACCTCCACCATCAATTCTAAGAATCTTCAACTTCTGACCACTCTGATTCTCAGCCTTCATTCTGAACTTCTTGAATTCATCAAACACCTCGTGTTTGAACTTAATAAGGGATACCCATGTCATTCTTGTGAATTCATCAACAAACAACACAAAGTATTTATTCCCTCCAATTGATGCTACTGGAAATGGACCACACACATCAGAGTGTACAACTCCCAAGGCATGTTTTGCTCTTGGAGCAACTTCTAATGCAAATGGCAATCTTGGTTGTTTTCCTTCCATGCAAACTTTGCATGACTTTTCAGGCTTCTTAATTGCAGGAATTCCATCTACCAATTTCTTTGAATTCAGATGTTGTAAGCTTCTGAAATTCAAATGACCAAATCTTTTGTGCCACAGCTCACTCTCCTTCTCAGTACTTGTTGCACTAAGACACTCTGAGTCTGCAGTTCTGACATTCACCTTGAATGTTCTATTCCTTCCCTGTTCTGACTCCATAATCAACTTTTGATTACAGTCATACAACTTCAAAAGATTGTCCTTCATGGTAACTGAAAAACCTTTCTCAATTAATTGTCCCACACTCATCAGATTGCTTCTGATGCCAGGTACATACCACACATTCTGAATCAATGCTATTTTCCCATTGTTCAGAGTCACTCTGACATTTCCCATACCTTCTGCATTAAGATATTTGTCATCAGCACATCTGATCTTTGTTCTCTTTTCAGAGTCAAAGTCAACCGGCCATTTCTTGTTTCCAGTAAGATGATTTGAACAGCCAGTGTCCATATACCACCAGTCTGTCAGATCCACATTATCAGATTCAGAGGCCATCAACAACACAGATTCGTCATCAGAGCCTTTGGCTATATTTGCTTCTTCTGATTTCTTCTCCTTGTTTGACCAACAATCTCTAGCAAAATGGCCAAACTTCTTACAACAGTAACATTGTATTTTTCTTTTGTCATACTTCTCTTTTTCCCTCTGAGCATTCTTTTGTCTATCAGAGGTTCTTTCTGACTTCTGACCACCATCAGATCTTCTCTTGGCTTCTGACTGCTTCTGATACCTCCTATCAGAAGTTGCTTTCAGAGCCTGCTGTTCTACTTCCTTTTCAGAGTTTCTCTCAGTCAGACGCAACTCTTGCGCTTCTAGACTGCTCTGCAGTTCTTCAATTCTCATTGTGCTCAGATCTTTGGAATGTTCTATTGCTACCACAATGTAATCAAATTGAGGAGTAAGGGATCTCAACACTTTCTCCATGATTGTTTCTTCAGAAAGAGTTTCTCCACATGCCTTCATCTCATTAGTGATCAGAATCACTCTGGAGATGTATTCAGAAACTTTCTCATTATTCTTCATGTTGAGATTCTCATATTGCTTTCTCAAGGACTGAAGCTGCACCTTCTTCACTGATGCGTCACCACCATAACATCTTACCAGAGTGTCCCATGCAGCCTTTGCTGTTGTAGAGTCTGCAATCTTCTCAAACACGTTTACATCCACACATTGATGAATGAAGAACAATGCTTTCTGATCCTTCTTCCTTACTTCCTTCTGCGCGTTTTTCTGTTCATCAATCGCATCTGCTGCTACCGGAACATAACCATCAGTGACAAGATCCAAAACATCTTGAGCACCAAACAGTACACGCATTTGGATCATCCAACGATTCCAATTTTTACCGTCAAATACTGGAAGTTTGGTGTTCATGTTGCCGTTTCCGTTCATCTTCTACTTTGCACAATACACTCAGAGTTTTCTCACACAGTGTTTCCCAACCCACAGAATTAAAAAATTCTGATCAGATTTTGTTCAAGATTCAACAAGAATCTGAGAAACAAAATCAAACACACAAGACCTCACGTTCACTCGTGTTTCCCGTGTTTCCCAATGAATCTGAACCGGAGCTCTAGATACCAATTTGTTGGTGCAAAGATAGAATAAATGATGAAATAGGGAAATATTCTATTAAAGAGAATGACGGCTACAAAACATGATATTTGGTTACAATGATTGTCACCCTATTTATAAGCTAAAACTAGGGTTACTAGAATAAGATAAATACTAAAATACCCTCTAACAAACTTATGGGCTTAAGAAAGTAATATAATAAAATATGAATTATTACTAATAATCTTTGGTGCAGAGTACGAATCATACGCTCCTTAAACCTTCAAGGTCTGAGATGCCACTAGAAGCTGGAACAACATACCAGAGTCTAAACCTTTAGATGCTGATTAACATATTCAAATTATGATCATATAAAATCTGAGTAGTATTGCTTTTTCACTTATGCTTTGTACATGATTAATGGTGAATTCTTAGCTTATGATGCTGCACACTCGAATATATGTTAATAAACTCTATTGTTCTTTAAATACTTTGCTATCATCAAAACCTTTTAAGGGCATAAACAAATCTTGTTTTAACACTCACGAACCTAAACTTAGTTTTATACCGGGCTTACCAAGAACCTATGAGATTTTACCACCGGGCTGATCTCAAACCGAAACAAGCTTTTATCACTGGCTGAGCTTGAAACGAAACTTGGTTTTATCATGGGCTAACCAAAAGCCTATGAGATTTTACCACCGGGCTGATCTCGAACCTTTGAAAGCTTTTGAACGCACTGAACTTTTGAACCTAAACGAAGACTTGATCCCACAATCCCAAAACCAAAGCTTTTTATGGGTTTAACTTCGAACCCAAACAAACAACCCCTAAATGGATGACATGTTCAACCAATTACAAAAATACTCTCCCAAAAATACAACTCCTTCACTTCCAAAATGACTTTCTCGAAAGCGCTACAACTAAATTTTTAGTGAGAGAAAGTAAACAAAATAATATATATATATATATATATATATATATATATATATATATATATATATATATATATATATATATATATATATATATATATATATATATATATATATATATATATATATATATAGAGAGAGAGAGAGAGAGAGAGAGAGAGAGAGAGAGAGAGAGAGAGAGAGAGATAAATAGATAGATAGATAGATAAATAAATAAATAGATAGATAGAGATAAAGAGAGAGATATCACTAAGATTTGTTTAGATAGTTCCTTAATTGTCCTCACCATGGGTACGCATGCCCTCAATTCGCTAAAGATCACCTTTAGATGGCTACATCACGTTGAAGTGTCATCGCCTTGAGTCCATTTTGGAACACCCCAAAAACACATTTCTTGGTTTGTAAGAACGACGTTGATGCTGGCTTCATTAAACCAGGAGAGATAGTCCCTTAATGTTTTTGAAAGACCATGTCGTATGTTAAATAAGCTGGTGGTGGACATCTTCCAATGACTGACAGTGACAAACTAGTGTACGAGCTTCCTCATCAGTTCATAATAACTGGCGATTGAGGCTAAGATAAACCCATATACCATCATATGTTGCATTGCTGAAAGTGTCAGACAATAATTTGCAGATAAGGGAGTCTAATGCTCCAATGATAACCATCTAGTGTTGTAGCAAGAAAAACAAATTATAGACAAAAATTTAAAACAAAATGGAAAATGTGAAACTCCTAATCTCTCCCATTTATAGGAATAATATATATGTATGCACCTAGGGCTGGAAATGAGTCGAGTCGAGTCGAACTCACCTCAGCTCGGCTCGACTCGTTAAGAATTTTTTGAATTCGAGTTCGAGTTCGAGTTCGACACGGACTTTTTTTTAAGCTCAAACTCGACTCGTTATAAGTTCACGAACAGTTCGGTTCGACTCGTTAGGTTCATCTCATTAGGTTCATCTCACGTGGTTCACGAACTTAAAAACTATTTTTTTAAATATATATATTTTTTAGTATGTTTGACATTTTAAATAAATATATATTTTTTAAATAAAATATTAAAATAAAATAAAAGTTATCATATTGAAATTTAACTTTATCTTCGAAATCTACTAATTCAAAACCTACACAACTTTAAAGAGATACATTTGAGAGTCTAATTCAAAAACTACTAAATTTAAGATTAAATTTGTCTAAGATTTAAAGTAAATATTTAAACCTAATCTTAAAGACAGTATAATTCTTTTCATATGTAATCGAGTTGACTCATGAACCTAACGAGTCGAACTATGTATAGTTCAAGTTCAGCTCATTTAGTTAACGAACTTAATTTTTCGCTCATACTCAACTCATTTGGTTCATGAACCTAGTTCAACGATTTAATTGTCGAGTCGAATTCCGAACTATCTTCGAGTTGGTTTGGTTCATTGCCAGCCCTATATGCACCCAACAAACACTCTATAGATAAATATAAATATTCAAAATCTTATATTTTAAAAATATTTTTACAGCTATGTAAAATTATTAATTATGAAAAATATAAACATTCAGCATTATTACAAAAAGTATATAATAATATAAAATTTAGAGAGTTTGCACTATCACATAGAAAATTATAAAATCTTATAAACACCTTAGACTAGACTCTAACCAAAATTAGGTTATTCAATTTTTTAAACTAATTATTTAATTTATTAATGTATTATCTACTTAATTCAGTATCCATTTATGAAAGCCCAACTTAAAAAAAATAAAGCCCATTTGAAAACATAGTATGGGCTCAGAACCCAAAATAAATTCGATATTTATAATATCCAAAGGTTTTCTTTACCACTCTCATTTTCAGGTTAGCTAGGGTTTGTAGCAAGGAGAGGAAGTAGCAGCCGTCGTGAATTCAACAATGGGTAATTTTCATAAACCCTAATTTCTAAATTCTCAATCACTCGTTTTCTCCTCTCAAATCTCAGTCAAACGTTTTTCTCATGATTCATGTGTGTTGTGTTCTTCAGCAAGAATCAAGGTTCACGAGTTGAGGCAGAAAGCCAAAGCTGATCTTTTGAGTCAGCTCAAAGATCTCAAGGCCGAACTCGCTTTGCTCCGTGTTGCTAAGGTCACCGGTGGTGCACCCAACAAGCTCTCCAAGATGTAAAAAATCACTTTTTTTTGATGTTTTTAATTATAATTGGTTGATGCGTGTTAGGTGTTTGTGTTTATGATTGATGTTTTATTTTTTGGATTGTTTTGTATTTTTCAGCAAGGTGGTAAGGCTGTCGATTGCTCAGGTTTTGACAGTGATTTCTCAGAAGCAGAAGGCTGCATTGAGGGAAGTTTACAAGAACAAGAAGTATTTGCCACTTGATCTCCGCCCTAAGAAGACCAGGGCTATTCGCCGAAGGCTCACCAAGCACCAGGTAGTATTTTATTTTACTTTGAACTTTCATTTGTGTTTATGATGCTTAATTAGATTTACTATTAGCTTCAGTGAGATCTCTAACATGATGGTTCAGAACAATCTCAATAAGTCTTGTAGCAATATAGTTATTGTTTCCTGCTATTTTTCAAAGTGTTGTTTTTGTGAAACAGTGTACTTCTTCCGTAGTAATTGTATTGTATATAACATTATTTACTCATGTAATAATTGTATGAAAAAAATTCCTGCAAAGGTATAAAAGAGACCTCATAAGAACCAGTCCTTGTTAAGGAATTTCTACCATCTTGAGAATATAGTTCAGTCTTTGGATACCTCTGACATTCAGAGCTTTATTAATTGATATGTGCAATGCATCCTTTTCTTCTAATAAGGCCTATTTTGAGTCAAACTAATTACAAAACTATATCAGTTCTCTTTTTTGTTTTAAAGAGTCACCAATGACTAATAATGTAAATTATGGTTTGATATAGGCTTTTTAGGGAAATGTAATTTACTTGAATTTGGTCTTTCTATCTATCCTATTCTCCTGCTGATGGTACACTAGTTGCATAAGAGCAATATATATTTGACAGTAACTTTTTTTATGCATATGTTTTTCATCCATTCATATGTTTTTCTGTGTGAGAGTGTATGTATTTATGATTTTATTTCAAAGTTGCATAAGAGCAATAGATATTTGACAGGAATTTTTTTTATGCATATGTTTTTCATCTATTCATATATTTATCTGTGAGTGTGTATATATCAGTAAATTTTTTTTTGCATATGATTTTCATCTATTCATTTATTAATCTGTGATTGTGTATATGTATTGAATGATCTTATTTCTAAGTTTGTGACTTTCTGAGTTGAAATAGAATTGCAGGCTATAATTTTTTGTTTATAGAACTGGACATTATGTTTGATTTTTGGCTAACTTTCACTAATTGTTCACGCAGGCATCTCTGAAGACCGAGAGGGAGAAGAAGAAAGAGACATACTTCCCATTGAGGAAGTATGCCATCAAAGCCTAAGACTATAGAACAACCATATCTATCTATTGGAGATTTACATCTTTCATAGTTGACAAGTTTTGATAATTCTACTTTTGTATTTGCATGTTTGTGTTATCTAGTTTTTCTTCATCAGACATGTTTCTTTGCTGAGGTTACTAGAGTTTCTGTCTTAAAGGAACTAGGATTATTGTGGAATGTTTAAAATTGATGAATACTCTGTTTTGCCCTTTATTTATCAACGTTTTCCATTTAGACTGGTATAATATAGTTGTATAACATAGTTGATTTACTTGGGAGGATAAGGTCAGAAACTGTTTGAAAACACAACTTTTGCGAGGAAGTTAGAGATTCATATATTCCTTGGTATCTGTTGTTGCAGATAAACTGAATTATAGTTTAAAAACAGAGTAAAAACGCACACTTAAGAAGTGTTCATTTGATATTTCATCTAGTTTTCTTGAGTGGATGGTCTAGTGCTTTAATTATTCTTTGAAAGCCACGTGTAGTTCATATCAATGATTCTAGTGTCTATGTTGTCTCTTGTTTTTACAATGATGGATTCTTTTAGAAGTTGTTATTTTCAAGCCAAGTAAATAAATCTTTTGTACAAGGATTAATGGAACATATTTTTGAAGTTTTATGAGTTTGAGGCAACATGTTGGACAATGGATTGTATGATCAAATTGTTTTAAAAATTTGATCAGGGAGGTACTTTTTTTTCATTTGATAAATAGAGAAAGACTAAACTATGCTTTTTGTGGGTCCATTTTTTTTATATAATGCAAGTAAACTGGATATACACCTATTTATTGACATTTCCAGAGGGAACAAATTCCCATTGACGTTGGAAAGCATGTCCATTAAGTAATTTATGGCTTGTTTTGTGTAACCCTTTGCCAATTGTTTGGCATTGTGGCTTTTCAAGTCATCAAGGAGGTTTTGGAACAACTGGCCATTTCATGTTGGTTTCAAGAGCGTCAAAGTTCTTTTTCTTGGTAGATTTAGAAATGTGAAGTATGATGGCTTGGTGGTAGAGCTCAGTTTCTTAGTTATGACAAGAAATGAAATATTTGTAGATTTTGGAAAGTATTGAGTATAATACATATTATGAATGATTGGGTGTAGAGCATACAAAAATTTTCAAATATGGTTTAATGGGGTTATTTATCGTCAGTCATCTTGAGTGATCAAAGAGAGAACACGAGCCAAGGTAGGGGGATAGGTTCATTTAGAAGGATTTGACTACAGATGTGGCTGAATGAACCGTTTAATCCCTTAAGAAAATTAAAGACATTTTTGTTGTAGAAAACAAATTAAGGGTTGCAGTACTCCACAATTATAAGTGTCAGCTGAATTTTGTAAAATACATACTAATAAAGATCTTTCTTTATAAGAAATGATCTCTTTTTCGAGTTAAAAAGTATGAGGCCCATTGTTTTGATAAAATTTAGTATGAAATAGATTGTTGAAGGTTGAATTTCCTTTGACACAAAATTGAGGATTCAAGAAGCAATTATGTTATCGTTACAATATTTTAACATAATTGTTTATTAGAGAAAGAAACTTCAGATTAATTATCAAGCTTTCAAGATTTATGCATTGCGCCATAGAAGTACATTATCAAGCTTTTAAAAGAATAATGAGAAATACCAATGGAACAACTAATTATGACATTAAGTATATGACATTAAGTATACATGTTGTTAAATGGTTAGTCTGGGAATAATCATTTGATGATATGAGAAACATAACAAACTATTGTCAACTTTGGATTATGGGTGTTCTCTTGGTGTTTTTCATCCTTTAGTATCGACTCAAACCTCATTTTTTGTTCATCTATTCAATATTCATTTTAAACATATATCTTCACAAAGTCATAAAACAGCAATAATTGTTAAAATATTTAATAGTATTATCAACTCTTAATTTCTGTGATATGATCAATGAGATCTTACATATAGTGATGGAGCTAAGAACAATGTAGTATGAACCTTTTACACAGAACTTCATAACATATTGTCTACTGGCCTACAAATGGACTGCCAACCTGCACATAGCTGGATAACCTCTCTGAGAGAATCTGTAGCCGCTTCCATTGTCCAAGTCGGGTAATATTCACTAGGATGAAACATGGATTCTTCTTTAGATTCTGGTGGCATGCATGGCTGAGCACCATTCAGAAGCATGTCTCCTTCAGATATTATGAAGCCAGACTCCTGATGTTCTTTGTCTTCCGCCTAAACAATTACTCATGTCACACCAATTAGTAATTATAATACGTTAAAATATGGTCGGACTAGAGAATAGCAATTTATCAAGCTTTTTCAAAGTTAATAACAAATGGTTGTTTTTGTTTGCCTAACGCAATGAAGCACGGACACGATACTGATATTCAATACGATACATATCTGATCCGACAATAGGTCGGACATTGAAAAATATAGGATATGATCCGATTCAGATTCAGATATAAAGAACTAAAATTAACCATTCGCTAAATCTTTGTCTAACAAAAACTAAATGAATTTGCAAAATTTGATAATTGGTAAAGGATCGAAAGCAATCTTAAAAATAGTAACCGTGAGAGAATATATAATGAATGCATCACAAAGTACATAGTAGAGAGAAAGTTGAGCGAAGCGTAATTAAGGAGGGGAAAGTTTAATTCTTGTCATAGAAAAATGTACACCGTTGCGAGAGGTAATTAAAGGTGAGAGAAGAATAATCAAGGAGGGGAAAGTTTCATTCATGTTCTAGAGAAATAAACTGTCATGGGATTAAGTGGCCATATCCGTAACGCATCATAAACATGTTGACAACGTATCAAGATGTATTGTAATTTTTTTTTTTTAAATAAAAAAGTTCGAGTACTCCTTTGATTTGTATCAACAATGTATCGGAGCGTATAAGTACATATCATGATACAGCCGAGATTTTAGAGTATGTGCTTCATTGGTCTCATCCTAAGGCCAGTCTTAGTTTTAGTTGTGAAAATGGGCTACAATGAAGTCAATCCGAGAATATAACAGAACCCTGACTAATGATGATAAAACTGCAAACTTGGAGTGAATAGCAATGTACTTTACCTTTTCGGTATAAAATTCAAAAGCTTTTTTCTTAGTTCCTGCTTCATATATGTTGCATTGGGAGTATATCTGTAAAATGATTTAAGAGAAATTAGTTATGTCCACAACTGGTGAACATAAATTGGAAAGCAAAATAAGTAATTGAAATGCAGGGGATGATGATATATCATAGCAGCACAATCACCTGGGCCTCGACACTAGCACAAATTGCATAGACTTCCCAGTTTCTGATGTAATTGTTGTACAAATGAACTTTTCCAAATCTCACACGAGGTTGTCTCTGTCGTGTTCCATCAAAGAAACAATGATGAATCGTCACCCGGATGCATCTATCACCAACGTGTGACGGGTTAGCTCCAATTAGCATGGTCTTGTCATGCTGTGCAAAGTAGCATCTGGTGCCATTAACAAATAATCTCATTACAAAACAGAACATTCGATCAAATCATTGACGCAGTTTAATTTAAAATGGGAGAAAATGAACCAACCTAGATACAGTGATATCCGTGCTTTGTCTTGTGATGTCTATAAGCCCGTCATCGTAATCTCGAAGGCTGCAACGGTCTATCCAAATATTTCTAGAATTTGGTTTTATCTGAATTCCATCTACATCATGACCCCTTCCCCCCTCAAACTCAAGGTTGCATATAATTATGTTCTCACATTCTTTCAGTCTTAAGCCTTTCCCAGTCAACTTAATCCTCTGGCCTCTTCCATCTATTGTCTTATGAGAGGACACACTCAGGTATGATGAAAGATTAATTGTACCTGAAATCTCAAAAACAATCCACAGAGGCTCCTTTCTACGACATCCTTCGCGTAGCGAGCCAGGACCATCATCTGAAATGCAAACACACACAATCAATATAATAGAAATACACTATCAAGACTATGAAAAATCAACAACACTACAAAACCTCAACAACAAAAACAACTAGAGCCACTTTCCAATTGTTGTATGGATGAAAAAGGTTGTCAAACAATGTTAATGTTCTCTAACAAAATATGACTAATGATCCCTACGGCACCGACACCTATATTTGTTATTAAGTTTAATTTATTCAAAATTTCAAATTATTATCATTGTAGATGTGTCAGTCTCAGTGTCATGATAGATCATGTGAATACAAACCTAGTTTTTCACTATGAAAAGATAGAATTTGCAAGTATCCAACAAAATGAATTTGAAGTTCCGATATTTGGGAGTAGATTAACTGATTCATACATGCAAAGACAATGGAATGAAATGCTAATTTCGCTATAACATACCGGGAATAGCAAAGCATAAATTGAGGGAATGGAAAGGAATGTAAAAGAAGAAGAAACCTGAAAGGGAGGTAACCAAATAGAGAGGACCGTGGAGGCCACCAATGGCGAGGCGGCCGAAGCCCTCAGCACGGCCGGCCATGGCTCTCAGAGTGGAATCCAAATCTCCGTATGGTTGAATCGGCGTCGACGCCATATTCGCCTTCTCTTCGGAGCTTTTTCTCTTGGGGACAAAATATTTTCGATTCTATGCACTCAATGATAGAATAATAAATAATAATGAAAATTACTAAAATTAGTGAAAATTAACTTAAATAGTCCATTTTTAAAAAATCTTTTTAACATTTTTTTTCCTCATAATTATTTATGATTTGATAATGATGTGATTCGAGTGGAAGATCTTAAAATATAAATATGTTGCAATTCTAAATTGAACTTCTCGTAATACACATCTATTAGATCTTAGAGTTTTTTTAAGACAAAATCAATGGTGTAGTGTTAGAAATTTAAGATTTTTTTTTACCCATATAATCTTCATTTTCAAAATATTTCTCGTTAAAAAAAAAAATTCTCAATCCATCTCATTTAAAAAAAAAAAAATTAAAATATAGCACTAGACGAATTAGCGGTTTTACCTACTTTTTTAACGGTGGTGTCAATTGGGTTGGTGGTTACATATGATATTGCCAACCCAATTAACGATAATGTATACCTTTTTAAAGGTAGTGCCAATTCATCTGGTGCCAAAGTGTATTGTGATTTTCTAGAAACATAAATAATAAACATTAATATTTAATTTAAAATACTTTTACATACACTGACGATGACGATCAAGTTGGTCATATTGGCCACCGGTTCCACACCTCATAGCTACCCTAACTCGTTATACTCATTGTTGGTTCACCTTAGATGTTTGAGGATTTGAGGTCTTAGAAACATCACCAAAATACCTAAGAAGTTCTTGCATTTCTAAGAAGTCTTGTGTATGAAGTGACACACTGCCGTAAGTAAGTTCGCGATCCATACCAGAGTAATTGGGATGTGTTGATGGAGTTATTAGTGTGCGGCCTAGTAAATTGAAGGGAGACATTGGTGTGAACGATTCATTGAAGAAAGGTTGAAATGATTGTTGTGATGTTTGAGCGTTTTGGCTATGCTACGAGGAATTGTTGGTGTTATATGTTCCTTGGGTGTTTTGGCTATGGTAGGATGATGTGTTGGGGGCATATGTATTTTGGGTTTCTTGATAATAGTAATCTTGTTGGGATGGTATGAGAGACGCTCTTGGTATTGTAGTTAAGTGTCTGGCCTGTTTTGGTTGCGGGTTTGTGTGTTTATGAGTCCGTAATTTTGTTGGGTAGGGGTTGCGAGAAACTGATATGGTAATTTTGTAGGGGAGGAGGGGGGGGGGGGGGGGGTGTTAGACGTTGGAGGTTCTTGTGTGTAATTGGTTGACTTACTTATTATGGCAGTGGCACAAGACGACAATATTACTTATGGAAGTGACATAAGACGACAACAATAATATCTTTCCGGTTGCCTTCGCTCTAGTTGAAGGTGAGACTCTTGGTAGTTAAAGTTTCTTTCTCAAGAATCTCAGAGCACACATTGTTTCACAACCCAACCTCTGTTTGATTTGTGACATATATGCATCTATTGAGAATGTGTACAATAATCCTGAGAACGGATGGCAAAATCCACCTTTTAGTCATGCCTACTGCATTAGACATATTACATAAAATTTCATCCAAGAAATCAAAGAAAAGAACCTTCGAAAAAATTTATGAATATGGGGTTTGCTTTTAATCAACCATCATTCCGACACGACCTCGGGGAAATTAGATTGTCAAATGCGGATGCATCAAGGTGGGTGGATAACATTCAATTGGAGAAGTGGACAAGGGAATTTGACGAAGTACGCCGATGGGACCACATGTCAACAAACCTTGTTGAATCCATGAGCGAAGTCTTCAAAGACATTAGAAATCTACCAATAACCGTATTGGTGAGCGCAAACTATTTTAGGTTGGGATCACTTTTCGCAACTAGAGGAAAAAAATGGAGTTTGGTGTTACGCTCGGAACAATTATTTAGTGAAAGTTGCATGAAAGTGATGAAGAAAGAAACTCTCAAAGCTAGCACACATGCCATTACAATCTTCGACCTTCATAAACACACTTTTAGTGTAAAGGAAACAATGAGCCATGATGAGGGAGACATAATGGAGACTACCGGGTTCAACTAAATAGAAGTTGGTGCGATTGTGGCAAGTTTTAATCCTTTTGTATGCCTTGCTCCCATGTCATTGCGGCATGTTCATATGCTCGCCAGGACGCTTCTAAGCATTTATTTGATGTTACAAAGTCATAAATATTTTCAATGTGTACAATAATAGCTTCCCGATGGTAGCAATGGAAGATTATTGGCCTACATATCAATGGGACATAATTTGGCACAACAAAAATATGTGACAAAAAAAAGGCTCACCCAAACAACATGCTTATTAGAACATAAATGGACATGACTGATAAAATGGTAAGATTATATGGTATATGCCGTCAGCCCAGACATAATCAAACAAATTGTACAAATGTTGGAGCAAGTTCTACATGATCATTTATTTTTTTCTTTAAATTTTTGTAACATTGGTATTTATAATATATATAGCAACTTTTTGTTACCAAACAAACATAAACACCCCTAAAAAAAGTTTTCATACATGAACAACACACGACATAACATACCAACATAAATACGCATAAAACAACAATACAAACAATAAATAAAAAAGACTTAACACCACAACAAATTTAAAAGATTACAACAATCACAACAATGTCATATACTGTAGACATCATATCCCTAGCATCATTGTCATCTTTAACTTGCACCGACATACGTTAGATAACATTATTGTCATATGCATTTGAGATGTACAAAATAAGCCTTTCGATACTTCTAATTCTTTTCCCATCATTAATCTCTCTATAACCAACTTTTCAAACTCTTTTCAAGATTCTCGAAACTTTGGATGTTCCAAAAAATCATTTTTCATCTATGGTTTTATTGCCGAATAACATACATGCCCATATCTTTTGTCAACCATGATAGAGCTAGTGAAGAAAATAAAAGAAGAATTTAAAATGAGGTATGAAGTGAAATAAATGGTATAATGCACCTCTATTTATACTAAAAGAAATCACAATATACACTAGTGCCAAATAAATTGGCACCACATTTGAAAAGGTAAACATTGGCGCCAATTGGGCTGACAACACCATATGCAGTCACAAATACAATTGGCGCCACCATTAGGTCGCCAATTCGTCTGGCACCACCACTTTGTTCCATTTTTGTTTTGTTTGAAAGTGAGATTGGTTGAGATTTTTTTTTGAAACTTAGGTTATTTTGGAAATACATTTGAAAATATGGTTTATTTGGGATAAAATATTCGAAATTTAAGCTATATTTTTTATTATAACATTGTGGAATAGAAATGAGCATAATGGAATAAAGTTGAATAGAAATGAACATAAATTTTATTCTATTGTTTGAATATTTTACGATGAGGCAAATAAAGCTCTTTATTCGGCTCAAAATAGAAGAATGAATATATGGTGGTAAGTGATGCAATGAAATGATATAAAATCAATTATGTTATGATCTATTCAATTTTAATTAAATTAAAAAATTAAAATTTGATTTTTTTATCTGATACCACTCAATTTCTTCTCATTATATTAGTCTAAACAAAGTCTTGCTGAATCAATGGGAATTAGAGAGTTGTGTCACACTACAGCAGCGTCATTGATGATAACGCCACAATATAAAAATGGAGATAAACAAAAAACTCAAACATTGGAAAATATAAGACCCAAATCTTGATTTTATAAGTAGAGACTAACGATTTGTTTGTTTTGGTTTTGTAAAACTGTTTTTTAATTTTTAAAATTTGAAAATAATAAAACTTGTTTGATAGTCTAATTTTACAAATTTATTTTTGAAAAATATCTTCTATTTATGAGTTTTAAAAATAAAAAACTAAAATAAATTTTAGAGATTTTGGTTTTTGGTATTTCGTAGTTTTGGAAATTAAAGAGAGGAAAAATCAAGAAAAAGTTGTATTCTTTATTTTAAAAGTGGTTCAATTTTTAAAAGTAAGATTATCAAACATGTTTTTTCTTTTACAAACCATATTTTTAAAATTAATTTATGAACTAATTTTTAAAAATTAAAAACTAAAACTCATTCAAACGAACCCTAAAAGTTATTATCCTTGTCCCTGAATATAAAATTTTCAACTTCATTTTTGTCTTTCTTGTAAGACTTGTTTTGAATTTTTAATTGAATTAATTATTTTTTACCAACACAATTCTATTTAGGTTACATTTTTTTTACAATCAGCCATCAATATTATCATAAGAACATAAACTAACTTTCTCTTAAAAAACATATTCATAAAAACAACATCAGTTGTTCCTCAAAAGCTTCTCTTTAAAGATAGCCATGTTCTAATTGTGTTTGACCTGAAGATCAATCTCTTTATGGTTGCTCGACTAACTCGAATAAGGGGAGGGTAACTACACATACTCAGACGCACAATTCACCGACTATTAAATAAGAGACATAAAATTTAAGGAATTTTTGTGTGTATATTGATTTGACGCTTGTGGTCCTTTTTATTGGGGTCTTGCTATAGTTACTGTCGACCCTTGTCCCTTTAAACAAAAAAATTTAGGTTACAAGTGACAAGATATAATTTCTTTTACGATTTGATGACTCTACCCCTGTTTCATGCTTGGATTAAATGTTTTTTAGGGAAGGTCTATGCTTGGTCTCCATGTCATAGAACCTCCTACTCAGTTAGTAGATATCTATTTTTTAATGTCATGGATCTAAAGTTGTTCCCCTTAAAAATATCTTTATCTTTGGTCTTTAAGATTATTATGGACTTTTTCTCATTGGATCACCATTTGGGCCGGTACCGGGTAGGAACAGTTGCCCCTATGCCTACTTTGGCCTAGTCGAGGTAAGACTTTTGACTTCATAATTTCTTTGTCTGTCTTTAGAGTCTAGGAACGGTGCTGGTGGAGAGAGGTCTGACCTGTAAGATTATCACTCAACGCTCAAGTCAATATGTGAGAGAGAAAAGTGAATTAAAATTGAATTTAAAACTTAGTACTTTAATTTTCGCGC